GCGTCCGTGCTTTGGCCGGGGACAGTGGCCGGTGGCCGATGCCAGCTCCCACAGGCCGCGCTTCCGGCCGTAAAAACCGCGTCCTGCCGTCCGCCCGGACGCACTGCCACCGCCGCCGCCACCGCCGCCGCCACCGCCGCCGGCACCGCCACCGCCGCCGCCGCGCCGTCCCCACAAGGACGTCTCCTTCACCGACGCGGTGTCGTCGGACCGCGGCGCCCGATAACTCAAGAGGCCGTCGCGACGCGGCGCCTCGGGCGCAAAGACCGGCCAATGCCGTTTCCCAACATCGGCCACTATGCACTTCCTCTCATATGCAGTAATGGTGGATAAAATGGTGTATTTCATCGGAAAATCCATTTCGAGCTCAGTGGCGGCTAGTGCCCCGTCGAATGACGGAAATGTAATTTACAAAATTCAAAACACGAATATTTAATTAAAATGTATACAATTCAAATTAATTAAAACTAAGTTATATAAAAGTCAATATTGAATCATTACTTACATAATTTTATGTGTCGTGACCGAGTCAGGTATTTTATACACTTCCCACGCACGTGGCTCTGGCTTTAATTTCCACTGTACACTTTATGTTCGACTCCAGCACATCGCAACAAGCGGAATTGCATCGACAGGTTTCACTTCAATACATTATTTTATTTCGAAAATATCACCACCCTGGTATATTGTTTTACAAAGATCCTTCCACAGAAACGCTCATTTTCCACCAGCGCTCTCCGTGATGTAACTCCAACCAGCTGCATCTACCTAGAGAGGTACTTCCTTTCCGATCGGCCAACTTTACACAAAGAATTCATTAATTGTACCGATTAAATAAGTAAATCTAATATCAAATGAAAACAAATTCTCCAAATATTATAAACAAAGCATGGAATATCGTTAATAATTGAACTAATGTACTTTCAATAACAAACGAAATTTATAAAATTACGTTGCTGCGAGTCTGACGAAGACGGAATATTGGGATTCCCCTGAGACTCCCTCAGTTGCCGCGCAGCGCTAGACAGCGCCACCAGCTGGTTGAGCAACCCAAATCGCGTAGCGTTAATATTGTATGCCGTGTTAAATCGAAGGGCCAGAGATGGCAGTAAACCCAGCGAAGATCCAAGACCGTGATGCAATACTGAGAAGGCACCGGCACCGGCACGAGGCACCGGAGAGAGGAGCCGATGGACGCTCTTTGCTTTCAAATCGATTTCATATATATCGGTATTGCTGCAATATCTTGAATATTGAATGTCATTAAAAGGAAAATGTGTATTGCTAACATATTAAGAGATCTTTTTCGATTATAACTGGGGGTTGTGCAATCGCAGAACCTACGAGCACGAGCCGACACTGTTCGAGATTTCAACAGAAATACACGTTTTGGGGTCCCCTGATCGTACGACGTGTGTCTTACGCTTAACTCGTTTAGACTGTGTTCAAACTTTGTAAACATGACACGTATATTATTTATTGGACCGTTTTGAGATAATTAAAATTTTGAAGTATTTGAATTTGTGAAGCACTTGGATGAAATCTGTGAGATATTTCCAAAGGTGTGTATAAATGGTTGCAAATTGTTTCTTTCAATTTTTGCTAGAATTGAGGAAATTGAAAAAAGAAATTTCATTTGTAAAAGTTGTATAACTGATTTTCATTAATATATCGAAAATGTTGTTAGTTAAAAAAGTTTAAATGTTTTTGAAACTATACTGCACCTTCAATATTAAAATCAAAAAGTATTAATCTATGCAATTTGTTCTTCAACGATAGATCTTTACGCAATATTATGTAGTATTTAAAAATACAATACAAGGCGGATTAGAGGCGGATTCAGGAGATCGCGGGAAGTCAATAAATTCGTTCTATTTTCCCTTAGAGTGAAGAGTTATCACCATCAGTGCGTTCAGTTTTCATTACAAAAGCCAAAAAACGCATTTCTTAACATTAAGAGAATTAAGATTTTTAGTTTGCTGCGCATTCCCATTAGTTTTATTTCCATTTTTTCTTTCTGTCACACTTGTATTCATTGTTCTACTCCTCATCATCCTAATTCTTCTAACTTCTTTCTATTCTTTCCTTTTTCCTCTTCTTCACTTTCCGAGTTCTGTGTCACGTTCTGTTATACTTCTCTTTTTCTCCGCCCCCTCCGGAAATCCATGTTTGCGATGTAGAGGAGTAAATCTTACTCTTTTGTAAACGAAACAGTAAAAAGTCCAAATACACAAATTGAAAAGTTACCAATCTGAAAACGCCGCAATAGTTACTCTCTTACATTAAAGAGTTGAACATACCGGACGGTAGTTTTCCTCGTGTAAATTTAGAGAGATTCCGTAGTCAACGAAGACAGAATGCATTTTTTTAAATTAGCAGTATTCTTCTTCTTAGGCACAACAGCTCTTTACGAGCTAAAGCCCACAAGCAGCGTCCCGGTCTTACGGCCATGGTAGGTGTGGTTAGCACATAGTTATCCCTTCGCTGTATTGTGGTCTTCTCAAATTAGAAGTGACATTTCTCATCGTCACACAGCAACAGAGACTGTGCCATTGCAAGGAAAGTCCACAATTAATTTTTGACCCGACCGGGAATCAAACCCGGTTGCGCCGAGGCAGAGTATAAAGTAAAACTACGATTTTATTTTCGTTTTTTCTTCCTGAGAATCGCGACCTTCAATTTCGACACATTCTGTTCACTTTTATCCACACAAATAAACTCTCATGACCACACAACTCCCGCGAGATGATGTATCGAAATCTATCGATACAACTGATCGAATCCATCAGATACATTTTTCATTCCAGTCGACCTTTGACGTTTTAAAAACTAAAAATAAACCAAGGCTTCTTCCACTTAAAAAGTCATTTATGTATGAATAATGGTCACCACTCCCCTCTCAGCGATCTCATCTCCTCAGAGGGAAAGTTGAACCCGAAGTGAGATACATTGAGAATTACACTTGCAAACGTCGGAAGGGCGCCGCGTGTAAAGCCGGAACTGTTGGGCAGGGCAGTGGGGGGCCGGGCGAGAGTAAGACGCAAGGCGGCGGTGAATAGACAATGGGACAGCGGCCAGGTGGCTCAAGGCGGCCCTCCCACGCGCCTCTCGAGGTCGAATCGTATGCAAATGCAACGCCCGCGCGCGACCCTCCCAGATCTACATTCTCCCGTCCATCCACAGCGCTCCTCCGCCTTAGCCATCGCCCGTTCCGCCTTCTTCAGATATTTTTTTTATTTATTTTCACGTCGGTATCGGGGAGATGGATCAGGGCATCAACTGATGCTATTGCAGTGCCACTGACCGGGGGACCTAGGTTCAAGTCCCGACGATTTCGACACAGGGTACATAGCTAGGTCGGTGTGTGGAGGAGAATTCTTGCAGACGGCTCTTCTGATCAGTAGTTATCAGGTGCTACTCGTATTAGGTGTCTCCGATCAATACCAGATGAACGCCGCAGTACGGCCCGTAGGCGATCTTTCCTTCCTCTTCCTTGTTGAGTCGTCACCCCTTACTTACACTTACATGCATAACACTACCACATATGCCGGGAGACCGGTCACGGGCTTAGTTTGTCTCGGCTGGGATGGTGCCCTGCTGATGGGAGATTCCTCGGGATTCTGAAGGAAATCTCGCTAACCGACGGTAGGTCGGCATCGGAACTCGCCAACTAGCGGGGGGATATCACAGCCCCCTCTTGGGAAAACACATACACTACACTTACAGGACTAATGATCTTAGTAGTTGAGGTGCCAAGAATCACTAATTTCACTAATCACTAATCCAACATTAATTTTACAAGACATTTCTTCTACGACAATGTAAGAAATGATTTATATTAAACTGTTCATGTATTCATGGTCATTACAGCACTCCTTGTATCACTCCCGATTTCGAATCGTTCTCATAATTATGTTTCTTATTTCAGAAAAATTGTGTGAATGTTGAGAATACCAGTTTTGGGGGAAGTAAAGGACCTACGGGCAGGAGTACCTAGCGCCATCTATTGGTGCTCTGTCTTCATTCCTCTAAAGACAGCGATGGACTAGACAGCTATGGCAGACAGCAGCAGCTAGACAGCAGCAGACTAGACAGCGATGGACTTTCGAGCTACACTGGCCCGAGGATGAAAGTACGCCATGCGATCAATACTTATGCGGGTACACGAGCCACTAGGGCGTAACACACGAATACAGTGCCAATACAAAACATTCATGTTAAAAATTAATAATTTAAAATACGAGCATTCGTATTTCGATTCGTATATGCTAAATAAAAGTATTCGCCTTTTCAGATAGTACATACTAGCTGAATGTAGCGTCGGCGATGTAAACTGATTTTAAAGTATTATGCTATACAATTTTTTTAACATCGTCACACATAACAATCGAAACATAGAGTTAAACGATCGCACAAGTTTGACTTTCAGAATCAAAAAACTCTTAACCGGGAAATTAGAAACGGAGCAAGAATTATTTCAGAAAAAAATATTTATAAAAATGAATAACACAATAAATTTGCAATGTGATATATAATCTATTTTCTACAGCTTATGATTCAATATTAATAAAAAATATTCAACAGTGATATTATCATGATGTTAAGATAAGTTTTGCACCTGCCGAAGCAGACACATTCGTCTGAGAAACGTTGTGGCATCTAATGAAACATTTGATTTGGAATTGACTGTATATAATTAATAGGTAATTAATTACGTACTAAACGATAATACCGATGAAACACTTCAAAGTAGAATCACTATTGACCGATCTGTCGTGCAATTCACTGGATGCACAGATGGCATCCAACTATCAGTGTTGCCATCCTCTTGAAAAAAATTGTCATCGTGGAGCGAAAATTTCCATTGGATACTGGGGTTTAATAAAGGCAACCTACATAGGTCTATGTACGTGATGTTGATTTAATTTACTTAGATCGTAGCGCTAAAACACAAAAACACGATTTTAGAATCTTCTGGACGGATCTGAAAACAAATAATCAGTTTCCCATCGAGACGGTCGACGCCTCGTGTCTCGACTAACGCACAGAAAGCCTATCCGTGAGTGACCGACGCACGGACAATCCCAATTACTCAAATACAATAGTATGTAGATAAATGACAGTACGTACATACTTATTTTTGAGTTGCCAGTTCCCTTACTGTTTCCTCTTACACTTTGTAAATTTCACAGTCTGGCCGAATTCTTTTATTTTTCAGCAATGTTTAATGAAATTCTTTGTTTGTTTTTTCTTGTAATCTAAACAACTAAAAAACCGCGACGATGGATTACTAGTGCATGTAATGATAATTCCTTCTCC